AGGAAGGAAAAAAAAAAAGCGCTGTTCCTGAGTATAAAAACTATTGTACTGTGACCCCATCTCTACCAAACTGTTGCAGTATTATTCTCCACAGATGATAAATTTCTGAGCTGGGAAGTCACTCTTCATTTCTTTCAAATCTAGACTTCTACAGATTGCTGCTGTTTATACTATGAAATACTCTAGGACTCGACACTGTAGATCACATCAATCTGAAGGCAGTTTTTCTAGATGTGTAGTTAATCAGGAACCAGTTATTTCCCCGTCCTCTTCCTGCAAATACAGTACATACACACTCAGAGTTCCTTTTGGACAGCTGAGAACTGAGTAATAGCAAGGGCTTTCTTGCATCAGAATAATGATGAAGGGAAAATGGAGGAGAGTTTTAGAGAAAACGTGAAAACACTATTTTGAACAGGGTGGTCCAAACCCCAAAATGCAGTGAGCATATCCTTAGCTCGCTCTGCCTTTATGAGCATGAGGAATTTCAACAAAATGCTGAGCAACTCTTGGATTTGTGGCTTAATAAACAATTGTTACTTAGATGCTTGTTCTTTTTAGAAATTACACCTGTTTCCACATTATTTATTCTGCTGATTGGCTTCTCTGGATTGCTTTTGGTCTGGACAAATAAGTCATGAAACTGGGAAGAGGCAAGCTTGCAAAATTTAAACAGTAAGACTTCCCATAGACCAAAGCTAATATTGGCTAACACTATAAATTGTGCTGCTTTTGTGTGATGAATCCACAGCCTGTGTTAGCCAGAGGAGACCAGTTTGTATTGGGTACCACCTTGGGCAATGATGGCAAGAATAAATTGATGGAGGATCAAAAGTAACTTAAGGAAAACCTCTTGGCCCTGGGGTTCTTCTACAGTAAAAGAATGAATCCTACCACACAGAAACGGGTACTTCAGGGTTTCATTTATACAGAGATGGCACTTGTTTGAGGGCTGTGTTTCTGGTTTGTGCTGGTTTCTTGTCCTGTAAAGCCAAGACTTGCGGTATCCTGTGGGTCAGGCAGTCCCCCAAATTGAGCACCACAATAAAGAGGGATGTCTCCAGAACAATACATTTCTGAAAGCCTTTGACTTTGGGCTGGAGGAGCATTTCCTGGATTACTTTGGAATAGGTCCTGTATGCGGCTTTACATAGAAGCAGCTACTGTAATGCAGCTTGTTGCTGTTCTGTGTCTTTTTTCTCTCTAGTGCTCCCTCTGTATATGAGATGTACATTCTCTCAACGCTGCGTTAAAATGTTAAGGTTTGAGGTAAACCTCATAAGGTCATTTTATCCATTCCCTGACACTACTGCAGCATAAATTTGATATGCATAAAGTTGATGCATTTATTTAATGATTTGCCTGCCACTTCTGACAGATGGTTGTTTGGTCTTATGCATCCTGTGTGATGGAGCATCCCCAACTTTTCTTGACATCTTGCTCAGTTGTTTTGCTGTTCTTTTCTGCAGTTTATTCTGGGCATTGTTTGCTTAGTTGAATCTGAGTTACTGTTTGTTTCTTCATCGGTGCTTTATCATGTTACTGTTTCTGTACGCTTCGTGTAACTTTTTTTCTTGTAGTTGAAGACTGATTGCACTGATTCATCTTGGCTGTGTTAGAATGAGAAGTTTGGGGAGGGGATGTGGCGCCTTCGAGGCCATTGATCCCATCTGTATAACTTTGCCCTTTTAGCTAGGAACAGATTATTTGCGCAGTGGTTCAAGGTTGCACAGGCAGAATCAGAAGGACCAAACTTTACATAAACCATTTATACTAAACGTTGGGAATGCTGGCAACATAAATCAACTACAATATCTATTACAAATTTATCACTTTATCAGTATTATCTTTGATAGAAGTGGACCAAACACGTGGGGAAGTGAACCGTACCTCAGGAAGTTTAGACCTCTCGTAAATTAATTATTCAGGACACACAGAGCCTGGCCCCTTCAATGTATAGTAATTCTTTCTAGCCAGCATCCAGGACTTTAACTTCAGCAGCAATAATAAATAGGAAAAGTCTCAGGTGAAGCCAGTATTTCAAAGTAATTAATCATCTTCCCCTCATGGTCCCTCCGCCTCTCTCTCTCGTTTTTTTTAACGAGGGAATTTCAGTAATAAATCTTTAATGATATATGTTAAGAATCCTTCATTAATTCTTGTCTACTTATTTCTCTTTTTTTGATGCTTTTATGTTGTATGTTGGGAAGTTAAAATGCATATACCAGAAGAAACAGTTTCAGAAAGCTGATAATTTGGCAGAGACTCTGAAAGGTTGTTTCTTGGATGTTGGATGGTACATTTGCTAATGGGAATTGTTGATTAATACTAGTTGGACTGTCAAACGAGTACTTGGATACAGTTACAGAATTACAGCATGATTGCGCAGGGAAAGGTAGCGAAAAAAGTTATTTGTCCTCTCCTAAATTGGAGGTGAACGGGCACTAACTCTCAGCTCTATAGTGTGCAAAGGCTGTGGCGTGTGGTACAGTCTCGGATGCCGCAGATGCCCGCGTGGGGAACGCAGCTAGGCGTGCTGCTGCCGGTACAGCAGTCGGATGCTCCGGTGCAACAGAGGGGATGTATCTTTAAATAACTCGTTAGACGCGAGCAGCCATCACGCCTATTCAATGTGACAGGGACAGATGTGACAGATCGGTTCTGACACACTTCCATACCACAAGTCCGTGGCTGGAGGTGACTGGTGTCCTTCCTCCGGTCCCGTCCCCGCTGCAGGACAGCACAACGACGCACGGATGAACCTCGCCATCGCCCTCACTGCTGCCAGGTACGGCGCTGCCACGGCCAATTACGCTGAAGTGCTGCGCTTGCTGAAGACGACAGACCCGGCCAGCGGGAAGGAGCGCGTGTGCGGGGTGCGCTGCAGGGACGTCTTAACAGGTGTGTGCCTTCCCAGCGGCGCGGGGACACAAAGGCGGCCGGCCGGCGAGCGGGGCGGCACCGCGCACCCTTCGGTCTGCAGCACCCTGCTCGGTGGGTGGAAGGGACGGCGTTCTGCAGCGGGCTTTGCCGAGCCGCAGTTGAACAGAAAGCACAGCACTTCAGAGAGCGTATGCTCTTCATTAAAGAAACGCAGAAATAATGAAACGAGGGAGGAGCGGGGAACAGTGCTGTTTGTAAATATCAATGAGCCGACAAAGGAGCCGTCTTCCCAGGGCACAGTGGCATACCATTAGTGTCAATCATCTTTAACTTCTGTCAGATTTTTCATTCAAATCCTAGTGTTTTGGCAGGGTAGACTAAGCTTTACATCCAAACCCTTCTGTCAAGCAAAGATGATATTGTAAAATGCTACGTACTGTACAGTAATAATCCCGTTTACCAAGTCTGTGGGTTGAGACTGAAATCTCTCTTGTTTGAGAGGCAGATTTCAGCTGAACTTCTTCTACCCAATCTACCTTCTTCTGCCTTTAAGGATAAGATGGAATTTCACTGTAAAACATTTTCTTTCAAATCTGGTTTTACATGAAAAGTTTGTTAATTTTTAAAAACCATTCCAGCTGTTCTGTTCAGACAAGCACAATATACTTTACAGTAGGTTAAGTTCATAGATAGATTAATAATGGAGACTGTCAGTGAGCAGGAAAACAAATGGTGTATGTGATTGATACTGTTTTCTTTCACAGGGCAGGAATTTGATGTCAAAGCCAAGTGCGTTATCAATGCTACAGGACCTTTCACAGATTCTGTGCGCAAAATGGATGATCAGGAAGTACAAAACATCTGTCAGCCAAGTGCAGGCGTGCATATTGTGATGCCTGGTTATTACAGGTAACGACATTCAAAGCCTAAACCATTTGTAACAATCTCTGCTGGTGCCTGTAATAAATAAGCTTGCGGAGACGCATTTGTGGGTTTTACGGTAGTTTTGAATGCATGATTTGATTTTTATTTTTTGGTTTTTGATTTTTAAGGAGGATTCTGGCACTGTGCCTGTTAGAATAACAATTTCACATATTCAGAAAAGAATGAAGTCTTGTAGTTCTTAGTTACAACTCACCAAGGCAGAACTCCTGCTGAAGCAGAAGGGTGTTTAGGCAGAGCATCTACAACAGACTTGTGAAAGGCGCTTTTTTTCATAATGAGTTTGAGTTGAGTGTACTGACTGCTTGTTCACCTCCCTTAAGAAAAAAAGACACACAGAAAACCTTCCAGAGAGGTTGCCATCTTCATACAAAAACGCTTGTCCTGTTAAATACCGAAGTCTATGCAATGACACTCTGCTGCTATACTCTGCCACGTCACAACTCTACTCATAGTAAGTATGAATGCAGCATGTAGGCAATATAATCAGTAGTTCAAAATAACACAATTAAATCCTGACAGCGCTGTGGACACAAGCGCACCCATCCGTGGCTGTGTTGGTGGAAAGGCCTTGCCTCCCTCTGACCTTGTTACAGAAGAGGTTCCCATGGCACTCTGAGTGCGCGCTGTGCAGACTCCTGCTTCTTTCCATATTTGCTACTGCAAAACCAAATCCCCTTCTACCAAGTAAGCCTTGTCAGTTGAAGCTCAAATATTACCTTTGGTTTCTGAAGTCATTAGCATCCTAATGGAAATTCATATTTATAGACTTATCCCAATTCTGTTGATACAGTGCACTTACAATAATGCCGTCCATGTGATCATTGCACTTCTCTCTGAATATAAATTCAGACTTCCAGTGCACAATGCGTTGTTTTTGCCGGAGCTGTCCCACTAGGAGATGACCATAGACTGTAAAATTGAGGCGTTTTTTGGCCTAGTGTAAAATCACTCTTGCGTTCTGTTCATTTTTTTGGTGTCTTTCCACATGAAAAATGGGGAAATGACCTGATAGCTGCTTTAAAGCACAGCAATGTGGAAAATGGGTTGTAATCCTAGTTTTCTCATACACTGAGAAGCGCATGTGTGACTGACTCTATGGCACTACAGCAAAAACACTGAAAGTTTTAAAACTTTGAATCACTTTGTAACTTGAAAGTAGAAGGTGGCTTGAGATGCATGAGGGCTCTAATTTATTTATTGTGTAATAACCTAATAATTTTAATTGGAAATGTAGAGAATACTTGTTCTCCTTGTTCCCTTGTGTATGTCAGCATGTGGGCATTACTTGTGAAATAGTATCTGCCCACATAATGCCTCCACAGTGCAGCTGATTAGATAAAACTGAACTGAATTTCCTTGAAGTGGGATAGCTTAAAGTAAGGAGCTGTCTGCTAAATAAAAAATACTTGTGGTATTTAATCTTAGTTGTATCAGGTCATCTTCTGGTGCCAAGGAATACTCCGTAACAAATGAGGACTATCATTTCACTGCGTCCGCTTGCCTTGTGGTAGATGTTTTACAGAGCTCACACAAATGAAAAGTTTATAACAGGTAGAGGGTTTTAGATATAAACGTAGTTCAGGTTCTGTAAAGCTAATTTTAACCTGATGCATTGATTTCCTATGTGTTTCTTACTCGTTTATGTTCATTAATAGTACCAGTATTCCTCATCTCATTAATTCTATTTTTAGTATACACATACCTATTCCAGTAGCTGCAATAAGTCTCTTTCACTCCCTATTGTTTATCATCATCTAAAATGAGAGAGGATTTTGGCTACCTCTGTTCAGATAGGCTTCTTGCCTGAAATGTGTCCGTGATTGCAGTATTTCTTTCCCCTCCCTTCTGACACATACCAGATGTTTTTGGTCTTTCTTGAATTTTCCTATGTGCTCTGCGTTCCAGATTCCAAGTAAACTTGTCTGTTAAACCGTAGTTCTACTCTATGGAAAGTCACCTATCTGCTCTTTAACTGCATTTGTGGTGCTTTGGTCAAATGCTTTTTCAACTCCGAGATCTTTCATGTGTCTGTTCTGCTCTGTAAAATGCCGTATTTAATGTCCAGGAATGAACCACTTACTGGCTTCAATGCTCAAGAGTTCTGATCTGTCCTTCAGTTAAATCATCTTGTCTAGTTTAGTAGTCTATAGCTTCTTGCACTCTAGGTATAGTTTAGTAATCTGTTTTCAAGATTCTTTCCTCATTTGTCATACACTTGATATATAATGTCCAATTTAACTGCACTGCTTTTTTGGGAAAGGAAGCTTTTTAAAAAGTAGACATGCTCCAAACATATTCAGTTGTTTTAAATCAACTCTTAAATACCATACTGTTCCTTTACTATTGGGCCAGGTATCTTGATGTTTGTTTTTACTGACGAAGAGCCACTTCAGATCCATCTGTATTATACTCCAAGGCTCTCTATTTGCCCCTGTATTTCTATGTAAAGGCATTGCTTTCTACTTCATGCTAGAGTTTACAGTCCTGAACTTCCCCATTTTAGTAGTCTTTAAAGATTACTAGAGAAATCATACAACAGCTGATGCTGCTACAGCTCATAGCACATTCTTGCATCCATTCTGTAATTACAAGAATCTGTCTCTTACTGCTGAAACAACATGTTCTTAGATTTCTAGTGCAGCAACATGACTCCAGAGGCATTCCAGAACAGGCAATATTCAGGTGTTAGGATGCTGCTTCTTGATGGGAAACACCTTATTTTAAATTTGTTTTGGTGGCTCTTCAGTCATTTATGTAAGATGGAATAAACATAGCAATGGGAGATTGAGAGCGTGCTTCCCAGGGTAGTCGGTAGTCATTAATTCAGTAAATTAATTGGCATATGGAAAACTGTTTCATCTTTTCTCATCATTTGCAGTGTCATCTAATTAAAAACACTTCAGTTCATAGGTGTTGTGCTGAAACTTAGTTTTAAGTCTTTACTTGTTTTTAATAATTTTTACTGAAATCACTTAAAATTATTCATACTTTTGAGAAAATGTCTAAAGTTTTCTGAATATTCTGATGCTGTATATTAAATCTCTAGTTTCCTCTGTCTCTAAATCAATAGCGCTTTCATTTTAAAAAGTAATCATTTGTCTGACGTGATTTACCTTTCACAAATCTGTGTTGACTTCCTCTATTAAATTGTACTTCTCCAACTGTATGCTTAAGCTGTCTATAAATATCATCTAAAAAATCTTCTAATATACATGCTATATATGAAATTTTCAGCTTCTCTTCTAGCCTTTCCAGATATTGAAAACTCACCTTCAGTAATCAGTTTAGACTTCCTAAAAATGAAATATTCAGTGATTCAGCTTGCGGCTCTCTTAAGTAGGTAACTCATATCCAAGCAGGTCTTTGTCTACCTTCAGCTTATTGTGTTAGCGGTTATTTGAGTCCATTGAATTATTCCCCTCTGATGGTCCTTATTACCACTTAAATATATACCTCCTATCCTCCTTCCATATACTTCCTACATATATATATATATATATATATATCCTCCTTTCGTTATCGGGAATAGGTGCAAAACCTGAAGACTGCAAAACTGACTGCAGATGTTTTTACAAGGACTTCCAGCACCTGAAATGAAAGTCAGCATCTTTCCTTTAAATAAAACTAATGAAAAAAAGCAGCAGCTTAAATGTTTTCCTATATAAAAGCCGCTTACTTTGAAGTGTTTATAGAAGCCTTTTGTTTTCTGAAATATGAGCAGAGCTATTTAGTAAGTAATAAGCATAACTGGTTTTGTACATATGGTTATTTTTCTTTTTTTTTTAATTTTACATTATACCAGGAAGCATTTATACATCAGTTAAAGTTTCCTGTATGAAGAAATACTGTTTTTCTTCATTTTACTGAATCATTCTGTTTATAGGACATAAATAATTAAATATCTGAATACTAGCATCCAATTAGTGTCTGTTAGTTATTATGGACGTTATATCTTTTGCCTTTTTTCTTTAAAAGATGGTTCCCCATTCAGAAATGCTGTAGTGGCAGGTGGGAGGAACTCGGGCTGCAGGACCACTGGAATTTTTCTTTTTAAATGTACTCGTAACACTTATGATTTCAGTGTTGCTGTTCTCTTGTTTTCTCTACCTTTTTCTTTCTGTTAATAACCCTCACCCCACTCCCCTGCCCCACCTTTATTGCAAGTGCAGGTCGTAGAAGTCATTGGGATTTTGTATGTCTTTACTTCTGCCCTCTGTTTAGGGAGCAGTTAATTGATAGCTTGGGTTGATAATATTTCATCTTAAATTTTTCTTGTTACATACTTAGATGCATCAAAACAGAACTAGGGTTTTGTTCTTGTTTCTTCCATTTTAATGTGCATTCTGTTTCAGCCTTCCCTTTCCTTTGTGGTATAATAAAAAATATTGTCCATTTTTGGATTAAAAGCAGTCGCTCATTCCATAATGAATTTCAAGTAATTGCTGATTTAAAATTTTCAAATGTTTGTATTTGAAAGAGCAAGATTTTCAAGAGCGAATGGAGATGTGAGATGCCAAAGGCCTGATTGCTCGATTTAAGGTTGTGGTCTGCTAACTTGCTTAAGAAATCAAATTCTAGTAATATCTGAGCATCACATTCAAGGGCTTTATTTCTTAAAACTTCTGGGACTACCTTTTAAAGTCAGGTCCTGGACACATGTGAAATCTCTGATCTTTTTTTTTTAATCGTTTGACCCAAGAACCAAGGTAATGTTCTAGTACTTTATCTGGAGTACAAGGTGTGCAAGAACAGAATCCCTGGTGATGCCTGACCTGTTTTGAACTATGTCCCTTCTTTATTTCAGCCCAGATAATATGGGTCTGCTTGACCCAGCCACCAGTGATGGTAGAGTGATTTTCTTCTTGCCTTGGGAGAAGATGACTATTGCAGGGACCACAGACAGCCCGACTGACGTTACATCCCATCCGATACCAACAGAAGAAGATATCAACTTCATATTGAATGAAGTGCGCAACTACCTTAGCGTTGATGTTGAAGGTAAACCTTTGTCAGCTCTGTTTTTCCCTGGGAAGGCACTGATGAGTCTGTGGCATTTCAGTTTGAGTAAATGCTGTCTGTCTGAAGTTTTTAGATAACTGATGACTATGGTTCTTGTGCATCTGGATGTTTCTAAAACTCGTGGGACGTAACTGTCATCTTGATCTATTTATCAGAGCTAAAAAATGATGCTTTTCCAGATACATCTGCACTACTTGGACTCTTTAAATGGAAATCGGTTGATAACTGCATGTTCAGATTTCACATACCTTTCACCTAACTGGCACTAACTGTCCAACTCCACAGCCAAGTCATTCTGGTCTCTTTGGGTGGCAGATGCAAGGTTTTGCAGAGCTGGGACAGTTTGGTCATACAGCAATGCAAGTATATCAAATAATTAATCTGCTTTTCTTGAAGGAAGAGTTGTTCTAGCTTTTCCGGTGTCTTTGCTTTTCCGGTGTCTTCGTTTTTATTTCCATTTTTCTAGGCACTTTATTCTTAGAATTTACTTTTCTCAGTATGGTAAATGTCTAATAGTGTCAGTTTTCACTGGGAGAGGAAAGTATAATGGGGAAAAAAGAGAATTTATAAAAAAATACTTGGTGATAGTTGTTCCCTTCAGTAGCTGAGCTGTTGTAAGATGCTGGCCTGTTTTGACTCAGTGCTGGTTTAAAGGAGAGAGGCTTCTTTCCTTTTTAGTTAGTTTTTTAAAAATCGTTCTGCGAAAGCATTTGTACTTCTGTATTTCTGTTGCAGTAGCAGCATTAAAATAAATCTGAAAAGCACTTGGTCAAGAATATTGCAACATCCTTAGATTTAGGAGAACTTGCTGTCCAGAGGTTGGAAATGCTAGATTACTTGTTTCCTGAAGGGGGTAATTGATGGCTCTGTATTGTATAGGTTCAGGAAACGTACTTTTAAGTTTCCTGAGGAGCAGTCGATACAACTAAGTGTGGTAGGCCAGACAGGTAGCTGGTAGAGTTAAGACTGTAAGATGGAGATTTTTGCAAGCTATTTTACAGAAGTACATTATGAAGTGTTTAATTCTTTTGAATGAAACCTACCTAGGTGCACGCTGTTTTTCACATATGCAATTAGCAGTGTTTATAGATTGCTTGTTATTGAATTAACAACTGTGCTGGCCGTATCAACTCACTGCAGACCTGCCTTTTTGCTGCCAGAGACAGTGCCAGGGTTATCAACTTACACAGGCTTGGATGTGTTCCAACTGTTTAATTATAGTGTCACGCATGCTGCTTTTTCTAGTTTCATTAGTTTATAAACGTAATATGGTATCTTATTTCTGTGATTAACACTTCATTTTGGCAGGTTAAACATGCTGGCAGAGCACCATTGATTTCTGAAATCTATTTTGTGTTCTTTGGGGATATTTTTACACCCCGTTACTGATTTTCAATTATCATTTATTTGAAAGTTGTATAAAAAAAAAAAAAAATGTTCCAAAGGCTTCAGCATAAAGCAAATCAGTCAGTTTATCTATTGCAAATTTAATAAGCAACAAAACTAATTTTATTAAATTCTCTATTGGTCCCATGTTTTACATGTTTTAAACAGTGAGTTTCGGAGGCTAGGGTATTTTCCTACAATTGTTAAGAGCTTTTGTGACTACTTAATGCCTTCAGGTTTTCTTCCTCCAAGTTTACTGAGACGTCAGGGTTGGCTTTAGGGGTATGTTTGTAACAGGGCAGGGAGCAGAGGAGTAGCACAGCGGGGAGAAAAAAAAGTAAATGGCCATTTGGTCAGGCTTCTTGTGGAGTGGGACCGCACTTCTGAAGCAGGGAGGAGGAGGAGGAAGAGAAGGCAGGGCTGGAAGAAATGGTGGTGGAAGACCCAACGTGGAGTTCTGTTGGGTAGCTTTTGACAAGTCAGCCGGGCCCTTTTGCGTTGCTGCGCAGTAGCAACCGCTGGCGTGGGGTACAAGCTTTGGGCATGTGCTATAGATGACCACAACTTTGCCAATAAATTTTCTCCTTGCCTGTATGTGTAATTGCTCTTCTGATAAAGGCTCTGGATAAAGATCACTTTTCAAGAGGAAAACTTGGAAAAACAAACTAGAGAAAAAGCTTTGAAGTACTAGAAGTAAATGTTTCACTCATGTGGAACAAACTTTATTTTGTTTTCTAAAATGTAATATAAGTACTGTCCTGTCAGTGCAAGCAAACGAGGGCTTGGTGCGGAGGGTGGGGTGTGGTTTTGGTAGGGTTTGGGGGTGGTTTTGAGCTGATCGGTGAGTTTGACAGTTGAATCTCTCTTGGTTGGTTGGTTCCCAGAATATCTCTGTTCTGTTAGATTTTTAACCAGCGTGAAAAGCAGACCTCTCTGTCCCTGACTTTGTTTTGGGCTAGAGTATTATTGAAACCTATGAGGGGAGTGCTGTGTTTAATTCTGTAGCCCAGCATATTCCATTACTTTGGAGAATCTTCTCCAGCATTTTGAGTTGCTCAACTAACAAGCATGGTGTGGTGCAGTCCTTGTTTCACAGCGAGTATCTACTCGGAGGCAATGCCACAGAGGCCACGGGAGGGATACGAGATAAATACCCATCAGTTCCTGGCTGACTTTGGCTGATCTTTTGGTTCTGAACAGTGAGAAGAGGAGACGTGTTGGCAGCGTGGAGTGGCATTCGTCCTCTGGTCACAGACCCCAACTCCAAAGACACGCAGTCGATATCCCGGAATCATGTTGTTACCATTAGTGATAGTGGTCTTGTCACGATAGCAGGTACTGGAAACTTTAAGTATAGCTTGGCCCTCCCCAGTGTATTTTATTAAAAATATTTTATTATAGGAATGTGAAGGATTATCCTGTAATTAGATAGTGCTCTGTGAGTGGTAGTGTGACTGGCTTGTTGGAGCAAGTCTAGTAAGAATAATGTGTTATATATAATACATACCAACTTCGTATTCCCCTTGCTTTCCTCAAATAAAGAAGTAAATGTGTGGTTACAGGTGGGAAGTGGACAACCTACCGTGCCATGGCACAGGACACCATTGATGCAGCTATTCAGGCACACGATCTGAAGGCAGGTTCCAGTAAGACCATTGGACTGCAGCTACAAGGGGCTGAGGACTGGAGTCCCACTCTCTATATTAGGTTGGTCCAAGACTATGGACTTGAAAGTGAGGTGAGTCATGGTTTCTGTTGATGCTGTGATGTTTCTGTGTTGGAGGGTTGGTTTTTTTTTTGCCCCCCACTAAATCTAATACCAGCATAACTTGTACAAAAGACTGCATGAGCCTGATAAGAGCTTATTATCTGGCCAGGGCAAAGATAGTTTTAACAAAAATAAATTGTAGTAATTATTCTTCTTTTCTTCCCTTTTCCCTTCCTCCTAGTCTTGACTGTTTCCTGCTTTAGAATGTTATGATATGCTAGGGTCTGTCTGTCTTTGAGCCCAACAAAATCTGTACCTCAGATGTGATCACAGTGTAGCAGAAGAGCTGGAGCATCCTTAGCCACAGTTGCATAGTAGTGTCAGTGCTGGAATAACGCATTCACAGTGCAAGTAGTTTCCTCCCACACAATCGAAATCTAATACCCTCTTCAGCTTATTTCTTATTGATAAGAGAATTGACCAAAAAAAGTGTGTATATTTGATGTGCTTTCAAAAGCGTATTGAAGTTGTTTTCAACTCCATAGGTGGCTCAGCATCTAGCATCAACATACGGTGATAAGGCTTTTGAGGTGGCCAAAATAGCCCAAGTTACAGGAAAGAGATGGCCTATTGTTGGAAAACGTCTTGTATCTGAATTTCCTTATATTGAAGCTGAGGTATGTGGAAAAACTACACAGTGTTCTTTGGTTGTCATCTGAGGATAAGCAGGTTATCAAGCAGGTTGGTCTTGCTCTGTAAAACATCTCCATAAGGCCTCTCCTTTGGTGAGGTCCAGATTTTTTTACTTTTCTTATTTTTCCCCTTCCCCAGAGCATGTTTTATTTTTATGTTTATACATACACATGTTAATATATTTATACATAATTGAATATTTATTATTATAGAGTCTATATAGGAAATAAAAAATAGACATGTTTGATACAGATGCATTTTATAAAATGTTCCAGGGAAAAGTAATCTTTTCAAACCCTTCTCTTGGTTGGGTGGGAATTAGTTACAGAAAGTTCATTTTGTATAGCCACGCCAGCACTATGGTTTGTGATGCCAAACATAATTCCCAACAGTGCCTGTCAACTTTCCCATCTACATTTTTCCCCCTTGTCTTACTGTTTTAGGTTGTCTATGGTGTTAAAGAGTATGCCCGCACAGCAGTGGATATGATTTCCCGACGTACTCGCTTGGCCTTCCTGAATGTGCAGGCTGCAGAGGAAGCCCTGCCAAGAATCGTAGATATAATGGGGAAAGAACTTAACTGGAATGAGCAGAAAAAAAAGGTACAAAGGGCCTTTTTCATCTGAAACTGTTTTGTTTTTCTTAAGTAGTTTCCATGTTAACGATCTAAATTAGTTGAATAGAAGACTTCAAGGGATGCTTTCTTCCTGAGAGAATGATTCACTTGGTGTATTTCATTATAAAGACTTTATCGAAATAGCTGTGAAATGAGTTGGTATTGGCCAGAGGGTGGAAAGTGAAGTTCTGTATCCTGTTCCCTCACTTCAAAAATGAAAGCAGACTTGGCATTGCTATCCTACTCCTGTTAAAATGTTTTGTTTACTGGCACTTTTCAACAGATTAGCCTCAGAAAATGAGAATCTTGTAAACTGTGTCCCTCCTTTTTGTCTGCTGTGTCTTTGAAAAGTGATGGTACTGAGTTTGCACCATTCTCTGGCCTAAGTTAATTTTTAAGGTTTGCGCCCTTTGCCCCCAGTGAGTCTGTCCTCAGACATACGGCGTGGGACTCCTCTCACTTTGTTTGCAGTGTTGATAGCAGACTGTCTCTAAGCTAGTCTCTGTATGCCTGCTCTGTAGTAAACAAACTTCAGTCAGATGCCTTACCCCAATGAAGGCATCTGCTGTGCACGCAGTGAAATGCATCCTACAGCCCTGTTTTGATCTCCACAAACTGTCAGGAGTACCTTGAGTAACTAGCTTAGATGTAGACATCCCACCTACTGACACGAGTTCTGCCCTTTTGAACTATCACATCATCTAAGTTACCAATTATTACTTCTTTCTGTTGTCATAAAAAGATAAATGCCCAGAATACTGGAAGCTGCACTCATAATGCTGTCCAGAGTATGGTGGAGGAAAGGCACTGAAAGGAGTGCTGAACCCAAACGGGCCACGTAGTTTGGGACTTCTTTCCCTCTGAAGCACCCAGAACCTGTGAATGTTCACCTAGCTCCTCACCTCCAAAGGGAATGGGAAGCTTCCCTTGGACTGTTTGTGAAACCTTTTAGCCAGTTAAAAGTTTGAGTAAAATTCTGGAAGGAGCTCATTTGTATCCCACCAGTCAGAGGACCTGCCTAAAGTCTCCCCATAGGAATGCATAAAGAAAGGGATACTGTCATGTCACAGTTGTGAGCTGTGATGCTTCTGTGCATGTATGTTGAGCAACCTCATAGTCAGAGGTGTTTGACTGAAGTTAGAGGTGTCTCTCCCTTACCTAATGAGATTTGCTCATCTAATAATTTACCATGTTAAACAAAGGTGTATCAATTCTTCCATAACAATAGATTAGAAAATGAGAGGCTTGCAAAGCAAGTAATTTGAAACCAGTGTGACGTTAGGGTTGCATGGACAGCCTCACTTCCAGCAGCCTGTAGTTTGGGGAGTTAAACACCCATTCTCACCATAACCTGCAGGACAGAAAATCAACAAGTACTGCAGGGACCTGTAAGACTTACAAAGCCATTGGTGGCTTGTGTGAGCTCACTAATGCCAGCAAGGCAGTGTCTGCGTTCCCTGAATGTCCCCTGGGGTTTCTTTTGGGAAGGTCTCTTTGTCTTTCAAATGAGGCTAAAAAATGCCTGAGATATTGACCATCTCTTCTGTAATCAGTCTTGGGCCATTTTGAAGTGCTACATTTTTATAGCAATCTTGCATGTGCTATATTTCAACTTGATGGACAAGGCAATTCCATGCCTATCTAGAAGAGTGTTCTTTAATTTAGATTTTTCTAGTGAGATGGTTAAATAAGTCTTTGTTGGTTTGGGACTTTAAGGCTAATTTGTGCGCTTACATTGAAGTATGTAAGAGTAGTCTGGTGTAGTTTAGTTGGTCTCCAAATATGCCTGCACAAACAAGTCTTTGCTAGATGAAGTGGCTTATAGGTACGTGCCTAGGAATCTCTTACTGCTACTGCAGCCGTTACTTAGCATGCTTACTCTTGTTTGTTAACTGCAGTGCGGGCTATTTAATATTGGTGCCCAGGTGCCAGATGCTTGTATTACTCTTAGAACTGTGTTTGGTGTACCCTTCGTCGTAGAAAAGAACTGTGTTCTACAGTACTTTATGTCAGATGTTTATCACTTATAAGAAAGCTGGCTATGGAAGACCTTGCACTGAACTTTCAGGTAATACATTCATTTTACTACCATCAAGAAACACAGTTTAAAACATAAAGAACCTGCCTGATGTTGAGGCTCCTGGTCTTTTTTTGCCCGCTTTAGACAGTTAGGTGAAACATTGCACTAAGATAGCAGCTGTGAGCTAAATGTCACTTTGTAGGCCTGACCCGCAAGTCCTGTTCTTCATGAAATAGGTAGATGCGTACTATGTGTGACTGAAGGCGTGGTATGGTCCTAAAAGCATTTACATAGTAATTGGAAGTCTTCCCTGGACTCGATATGTCTTTTCAAGACTAAAAAGTGCCTACGCTTAACTTATTTTTTTTTAAATACTTTTTAGCTACCATCTGCTTAATTTTTCGACCTTAGATAAATTTTAGTTAAGTGGAAGAAGCTAGTAAATACTACATTAAAAATAATTGTGTAAGAACTTCCTGTTTCTTAGATACCTGTTTTTTTCTTTTGTTGTAGGAAGAACTTGAAGCTGCTAAAAGATTTCTCTATTATGAAATGGGCTACAAAGTAAAATCAGATCAATTAACAGACAGCTCTGAAATCAGTCTAGCACCTTCAGATATTGAAAGGTAAGTAAAGTAGAAGAGTTCCCTATGCTGCTAGGAATTAATACCTGCCATTCTTCTGAGTGCAGCTTTTCCCACCAATAATCCTTATCTTGCAGGTACAAGAAGAGATTCCACATGTTTGACAAGGACAAGAAAGGGTTTATTACTATACTGGATGTGCAGCGTGTCTTGGAGGTAAAGTTTCCTTGTGTTCTTTTAGTTTCCTTTTTAAGCCTCTTATCTAAATTTCAGTGTGGCATAAAGAGCGCTGAACAATTCCATTGACATACTTCTGTGCTTTTTTTTGTTTAGAGCATCAGTGTGCAAATTGCTGAAAATACACTTCACGATATTCTAAATGAAGTGGATCTGAACAAAAATGGACAGGTTGAACTCAATGAGTTTTTGCAGGTAGGCGTTTCTTTGTTACGAGAGAAGCTGTAACTTTAACGAACAAAAGCAGAGGTGTTGAATTTTTTTCCCTCTGCTGAAGGGCTGGGTTGGACACTAGGTGAGTGTTGCTTGGGTAAAGGCTGTAGTGTTGATGCTGTTTCCCAGATCACAAGATAAGTGACACGCAGAGCCACCCTCAAGCAACTTTGAAATTCAAGGGGTTTTTTTTTTTCATATGCAGAAACAATGAGACCCAAAGAACAGGTCCAACTTATAAAGTAGTACAGACCTGAATTTGGCTTTTTTGATACAAAAATGTTGTTCAAATATATTCAAAATGATACAGTTGTCCATTGGAAGGCATATGGCACAATTATGCACACTGACATTTATCTGGGTCTAAGTGATTAGTAGTTTCTAAAGTATTTTGAATATTGTAAAGAATAAGCTTGTGGTTAAAGCACATCCAGTCCATATAATCAATCCCATTTTAACTCCTGGACTGGCTAACATGATCTCAGTTTGTATTAAAGACATTACATTGAGAACCCATACATCTGCTTTTTGCAGGGTTTTAAAATAAAATTAAGGGTGCTACTGAAATGTTTGTTTGCCCAGCTCCTTTTGCATATGCAGTTTGCCAGCCAGCTTTGTTTTTGTAGAGTCTTTCTTGGTATGGTATTTCAGGTGACTGCCATGTCGTTCCTGCATGGTGGCAATGACGAATGCCGAACATGAGATAAATTAATGCTGGGGATTTTGGTCAATGTCAGCCCTTTCTTCACTGTGTCAAGTTAAACAAACAAGATCAAGGCAAAGGAAATGGTAATTGTCTCTCTCGAGATGAGCTGTAGATAAGAGCAGCATTGTTGAATGTAAATGCAGAAAATTTTCACAGGTTGTGTCCAGCGTTAGAAAAAAGGACTATTTATTTGCCTGAAGTGCAGCAATTTAGCTGGGTAACTGAAATGCACTTGGAGGGGAAAAAAAAAAACCTAAACCAACCATGGTGGGGAAAGAAGAAACAATAGCTTTGGGAGTTCATGCTTATGTATTCAGGTATAAGAGAAAATCACGGCTGTTTTTCTGGCTATTGAAAATGGTCTCCCTCTTACACCCCTTTGCATGTGAAGAATTTTAAGGGGGGGGGAACCCACCATTTACTATAAGGGCTCTGTTAAACTATAATGGTGTTAGTTTGGATACATTGTGGTTAAGAAGTTCAAACAACTAGTAATTATGTCTTCTGTGGATTTTTTTGGTGGCTTTCTGGGTTTTTTGCTTTACTGTGCTGAATAGTCTCATTAGGGGTTGCCTGCCCTCAATCATAATATCTGTAAACTATAAAAGTCAAGTCACCGTTTTGGTATAGCTTCACAGTTACTTTTGTAGAACTCTAACTCTGTGTGACTGGCTTCTCCTACGCATTTCACAATGCAATCTAAATATTTAACCCTAGTGATTGGCATTGCAGTAATGATCACTTGTGCCTGTGCACCTCCGTCCTGCAGGGGCAGAGAGCAGCACACCGGGAGCTGCTGCGTAGCCAAGTGCTAAGTAGGAAGTATGGTAATAAAATTAACAGGAGGTTGCCATGGAAGGAACAAAATACATTAAATGTTTGTTTAATTTTTTTAATGGATCTGTTAAGTCAGTTCCCAATACTTTCATGTTTGCTTTCTGAAAACTTTCAAGTAATTGCATTTTACTGCAGAATGCTTGTGGAAAGCCATGTGCAAATATTTGTGGACGTTTATATTAGAATATAGGAACACATTGTACCAGGGTGGCCGCGTAGCTCTCCAGGTGGGGAGCGGAGCAATGCCAAGTGCATTCAGCTGGCCAACTGCAGATTGCCAATGTTATTCGAGTAATGGTTTTGTGAGAACTGGTCCCAGCAGATGCCGATGCTTACAGGTGTTTCGCAAAGAGAAAGTGGACCGCATTGATCGGCATTCAGTACAAACAGGTTGTTCCACTGTGGCAAGGAGGCAGAGCTGTGACAGTCCTTAGGAGCTCACGGAGCTGTCTTCCGAAGAGCAGTCACTACCGTAAGACTTGCATATGGAAGCCTAGTGCTGCTGTCATTTATGCTCAAGAAAGGAGGGGGACATTGGGAACTCGTTTTGTTATGTAAAGGCAAGAACACCTCCCATGTTAAATCAGGAGGAAGCTTTTTTCCCCCAACAGCAGATTTCCTTTGGGGTCCTGACAGACCCACATACCAGAAACTCATTTTTTATGACGGTGCCAGAGGACCAGCCATCTTTTTTTGTGGTCGCTTCCCCAAAGAGCACGCAGTACAGTCAGACCAGACAGACGCAACACTGGTAGTTGAGTGCATCGTCAAGCCGGATGAACGGGTGTGAGGGCCAATGGCTCTCCTCCTAGGGCCTCCCTGTCTCTGCAGATCGCTCTGGAAGTGGGGAGGGAGGCGAGGGAGAACACCAAGCCCGAGCAATGGTGGACTTTCCTTGCTGGCTGTAGCTACTGCTCTTACTGTTGCTGGTCCTCTCCTTCCTGACTCCATCGTCTGCCTTGCCTCAGGGCTGCACAGGGTAATCAAAACGCCTCCAAATGCAGGGAGGTTTTTCCAGCCTCGGCTGTGTCTGTAAAGCATGGGGTTCCCTTCTGCCCCTTCCCCTCCCGGGTACTCGTTCCAGCTTTGACAGGGTTGATACCACATTTGCATAGGTCCAGCTGCAGATATAATTAATAGATTTTCCTATGGAAGGGAAGAAATCTGAAGGATTCTTAGCACTCAGTAGGAGTAAGAAATTGCATTTTGTAAGTGCCGATTGCTTTCCATAGTAGTCTTTGACAAGCTGACTTCATGTAATTTCAAGTCTAATGCTCACTTTATCCATGGGATAAAAAAGAATTAACTAAAATCTTAGCACTAGTGTGTGTGTTCGTTAAGATAGAGCTGAGTCCAGTTTCAAGGACTTAAAGGCAAATTAGTTTTAAAAGTCTATAAAGGAATTTGGATTTGAAAGAATTGTGAAAGTCAAGTACACTGTCTCTACAAAGAAGGGCGTATGATAAAAAAGAGTATGGTCTGGGGTCAGTGGTAGAACAGGAATGGTGTTTTGTTAGTTAAATCTTGCAGATATTTAAAAAAAAAAAACAAAAAAACCCCTGTAAAATAGATGGTTTCTCCTGCATTCTTAAATGTCACTGAAAAAACTCTGGTGTTGATGTCAGCCAGCACTGTTACTTCCAAATGGATTGTATTTGGTACTTGTAGTCTTCCTGCCACCAAAACCTGCTTTGCCAAAACCTTTGTTTATATTTCTAGAAAAGGTAAATTAGCTTTGAGGTGAGTCTTTGAAACCATGCAGCAGTTCTGCTTTATGTATGGGGAAAAACAGTTCTGTATATTCATTAATTATTTTGTCCAAGAGCCAGTAGCAAGTGTTCCCTCGGGCACTTAGACTGGAGCTGTGTCAGCGTCCGCCGTCGGTGGCCCGGGGGCGGGACGGGTGGCCGTGGCCGTGCACCTCTCGTGCAGAGGAGGTGACAGCACCAAGCTGCGTGACTCTGCTGGTGTTCTCTGCCGCGTAAGCCATGTCGGTGGAGGGCTTGTGTGGTCTCTGCTCAGGGGCTGGTATGGGTTGCAGTTGCCCTGCTGTCCCTCTGGCTGCTTACAGATGTCTTTCCGTGAGGGGCTGTACCTTCCACCTTGGTTCTTTGTCTTGCAAATGAGTTAACAGGATGCTCTCCCTCTTGTCCCTTAAGCTCATGAGTGCTATTCAGAAGGGCCATGTGTCTGGAAGCCGGCTGGCAGTGCTCATGAAGACTGCCGAGGAGAATCTGCATCAGAGGTTGGTGATTCCGGTGGACCGGAGCGGTGGTGGACTGTGAGTTCAAACACAACGTGTGCTCACAGCTACAGCTAATGGAGATGCGTAGCTGTGCCTCTCTGCTGAAAAACATTCCAGTGCGTCTGACTGTCCCTGCTTGTTCAAGATGACCGGTGTCTGTCCATCGGTATAGCTCTTACAAAAACACATGGGTTCATTTGTGTTCGTTATTAATGGTTTTCTGTACAGCTCTTAATACTCCAGTATGTGGCCTTTTGGATTGGGTGTTCTTTAGACATAGGGGTTTATTAACGAGTTGAGGAATACAGTCTAGAAAGACTTGGGTGCACACACAAGCACATGTGCACATACTGCCTTGTTCATTAACTTTTATATCACCTTTACCTGTAAAGAAAACGACGCTCAGAAAGTGAATCCTGCCTTTAAATGCATTGCATTGAGTCTTGCAAATATGCGTTCAATATATTCAGAGGAGCTGCTGATCTGTCCTCTTCAACAAAAATAGCAAGAGAGGGAAAGCTAATGTTCTGGATTGGAGGTGGTATCACAAAAGGAACGAAGCTGACGCTTCCTGAGGTAGTGATTACGGCGAAGAACTGTCATGAGTCTTCCATAGGTGGCTGGTTTTGCTCTTTCGAGTGCTGTTATTTCAGTGGTACCAATACTTGGCCAGACAAAAATATCAGCAGTATGGAGCTGCTGCTTGATTAATCACCCAAGCTAATAATTTAGTTAAAAACTAGGGGACAGCTTTCCTTTCTCCCATATTGATAAAAATGTCTAGCAGGCTGGTGTTTTATGCTGTTAAGTGTTTCATACTGATTCCAGTTTTGGACAAACACTGATGATATGTAGAATATGGCAGTTTTTGATAGCATAAGGCTTAACTGTTTATTAAAAATTCTCAAACACAAAGTGAAATGATGAAGTTTGTTTTGCATTCCACTAACTTTTCTATAAAAGTGAAAGGGCTATTTTTCAGCAGATAATTAATAATAAAAAAAAATAGGACCACTCACCTGAGCTGTTTTCAACAATGTTGTATCTGGCTGTTTGCCTTTCTGTTGTTAAATGGACTAGGTCCAAGATCAGGTGGAAGATTTCTGCCTAATGTAGAACAAGGAAGGGAAAAACTTAAGAACAGATTATTGCTGAATTTGTCATTCTGTTGCAGTCTTTGAGTATAAACACCAATTTACAACTCCAAACAAGCTTCAGTTCCAAGGCATCAGAATTTCTACTTCTGTAAAATCTGATCTATTTTAACTGATGTCACCTCTTTCACTAATGGAAAATAACAGTACAGTAACGAATAGCAAAGATTACTTTCATATTTTGAAAGGGAAAATGATTGCATACACAAAATGGAGATGCTGAGGAGTGTTAGTATGTACCATAGTAAGCACAGATGTTGTGTTTGGCTGGAGAGGCAGAGTCCTTTAAAAAAAAAAGTCTTTAAAAATAGATTTAAAAAAAAAAAGGGCAAGCCTCATGTGAAATTCAGTAAATGGTTGTAATTCCATCAATCCAAACAATCGGTAAAATCTGCAGGGAAGGAGATGGTCTCGGGTAAAATGCCTTTCAGATGGTTTTTGCATGTTAATTTTTTTTTTGATGCTCCCTTGTACCAAATCACAGATATTGCTAAGGGGTTATGGCTTTTTTGCTTTGAGTCCTGTGCTAGTGAGGCGCAGTCTATGTGAATGAGGAGTTAGCATGTTTGACAATGTAAGAATTTTTTTTATTAACAAAGGGGTTTGTTTCTGTGGTCCTGTAAAGTTTTCTTTTTGAACTATGTTGCAGTATATTCAGGCAACGTATGTAAATATTTGACACAGCTTCGTATTTCTAAAAGCCCTTTCAAATAAGATCACAATAACAGATTTTGCATATACGGCAGAATTGGTGGGAAATGAATGTACAATACACGGGTTATTTTGGTTCAGTGAGCACGATAAGGAGGGAAAACTATTAACAATAATTTAAGGGGAAAAAAAAAGTAATTAAACCTTTTCCAGGCCACATAAATATTGTAAATATTTTTCTTTGACATCTTTTGTATGATTTAAAGAAAAATTCTCCTCCACTCCTCTATAAATGGCACTGTTAAGAATTAATAATACAAGTTTACCTGTACAGCCAGGATTTTTGGCTTTGTACCTAAAGTATACTCTTTATTCTCTTGTTTTAGTAATATTACGTACAGAATGTGACTTTGGGATTTTCTTGGCTATATGTGTGTCCTCCGATATGAATTTGCTTTGCATCTTAGGCACTTTACTGTCATGCTTCTCTGCTCTTTTGTATGGCACACGAGATCTTGTATGACTACCTTGTGTAACAAGAGAAGATTGTGTGTGTTACTTAAAACAGCTAAATCTATACGTGGAAAAAATCTAGAGGTATTTACTTATCACCTCACGCTTGTTTTCAGGAATGTTGGCTGCTTTGTTTTTGTGGTGGTTTGGTTGTTTGGTGTTTTTTTTCATGTGAATGTACTGTAGAAAGAGTTGTAAAATGTCACAGTCTTGCATTGTTCTGATCCTAGGTGGAAAAACAGCAGTGTGATTTTTTTTGTTGTTTTGTTTGTTTTTGGTTTTTTTTTTGAGATGGGAGCTGGATTTCTGGATGGGGGGATGTTATTTTGTGTTTTAAATAAACTGCACGCCCTGGGCAGAGGGGGTGTGTGTGCGTGTGTACATGCAGTGTGTTCACATATATATCTGTGTGTATGTATGTACACGCATATGTACACACTGCGTGTTTTACATGTGGCACTTAGGTATTTTGTTAGGTTACTGTTCTAGACTGAACTGTTAAATACTGTGTTTGAGGCTGGGTTGTCATTTTTATAACTGTCTTGGTGTTTTACTGCCATTATTTATTACTTTTGATATCCAGAATGAGCCGCATGCATTTATAGAGCAATAAGAGGATGTATTTAATGTGCCTTGTTTTTAACTGAGTAAGAACTGAAAGCATGAATCAATAAAACTGATTAAAAATGGGTCCTTTCACTGGCAGTTTGTTATGGCAGTTACAAAAATAACTTTGATTAGCCTTGGAAAAGTTTATTTTTAGACGAAAAATGTTCAGATAGATGCTTCTTAGTAAACGTGACATAATTTTGTCTATGCCATCCCATTTTAGCTTGGAATTTAGCACTTCATGGTTTAAAAGCAGAAATTGGGAGTTAATACAGCAGTTAGCATTCTCGGGACGTAGGAGCTGTGCGCGTTCGCCGATGACACGCAGGGTAAGGTATTCCGCGCTGCCATCTCATACTAAAATTACAGCCAGCCAATTGGCCTGGATTTTGGCCGGGGGGGAGCGGGGGAATGCCAGTCGCAAGTGTTCCTTTGCACACAGATGAATTTTATCATAACTAAAATCAATAGAAATGAATGGAAGAGATTTCATAATCCATTTTGATCATTTTCCATGTCAAGTTATTCCAGGGTTGCCATGTGTTGATAAATGTTCTGACAGAAAAAATGCTATATATTTTCATTGTCAGTAAATCAGTAAAGCTGTTACCAGTTTTAACGCAATTTTTATAATCTCCATATTATTTTATAGGTTTTAATTTACACGTGTAATAGGGATATTCCAGAACTGTGATGTAGCTATGCTGAATGCAGGGGTTGTGTACATGCAGCCAGAATAGCTCCCCGCTGCATGTCCCCCACAGAAATGAACAGGACCGATACCTCCAGAGTATAATTACAAAGATTATGAATTTTATCTAATCTGTGGTGTGTAAGTAATATGTCAGAAGATGTTTGCTACAATCATCTTCGTCCCAAATATTCTGCAGCACTAAAATTGCCTTGGGTCATGATCCTGAATGTGCTGCTCAACGCAGAACTGAAATGAATAGGAATGTTTCTGGAACAGTATTTTGGGCTGCGTTCCCCTGCTTTGCACAATTTCTCCACTGAATGTTCAAAAAGTCAGATTTATTGTGACCTATGTTCACTTGTGCACTGCAGCCTGTTTTAGAAATATGATGCAGAATATCATAGCAACATTAATATTTAAGCGTTGATGCCCGAGCTGGGTGTTTCCCGTGTCAGATATGAACTGATTGCATCTGAAGAGAAAACCATCTTCAGTGGGGATGAGTCTTTGCTGCTGAGTGAGTGTTGTTTCTTCTCGCTGAAAAAGAGGGGTTTTCAGATATGTAGGTGTGTGCAGCCTAAAAATTTTAGTCCCCGTTCCCCTATTTAACCAGCCTCCCCCATTTTTTTGCGTGCCTGTACCCTGACACAGGAGCGCCGGCTGCACAAAGCGTGTGCACGGCTGCTGTGGCTGGAGACCACAGGCTGCGTTTCAGAATCGATACTTTCTTCACTCGGAAGATGCCACTGATGCAGGCATGCGCTGGGATAATCTCGCCTCTTCCTATTTTGCAAATAAAGGCAGAGATTAAATTCTGCTCCCCTGAGCAAGCCTTTAGCTTGCTCAGTTTTTTCCACAAGAATCTTCTGCAAGGGCTGTCGTGTGTGTTAGATTATCCAGTCAGATATGAGCAGGGGGACCAGTTTCTGTAAAATTTTGGGAAGTTTTAACTGTGTACTTAACTGTATATTTGACTGAATATTTAACTGAACTTGATCCTCAGCAAATGCCAGCATCGGCCACTGTGCTTTGTCTGCCGCCTCTGAACCACTGCAGCCCGAGCCTGTTCGGTGCAACTCGGCAGGCTGGGGCTGTGCTCAAACTTTCCGCGTTTTGGCAGGTGAGGCTGTTCTCACTCGGTGACCCTGAGAGCTATACCTAGCCGGCTGCGGTGCCGTGGGGCTGTGCCTTCTCTCCGCGAATGTCTGCGGTGGGGCAGTGCTGTAGCTGGATGCGTGTCACTAGCTCTCCTCCACAGGCTTTATTTAACTCGGTAAGGCAAACTTGGTTCTGTCTTGCCAAGATACCGTAATCTGTTTGTCCAACTGATGTAAATGTAATTAGGTTGATCAGTAAGACTGACACAAGCTGAAGGGAACCGAGTCGGTGTAACGCGACTCGAGGGTCTCTTGCACCGCC